GTGCCAGGTGTGTAGCTGTGTCAGGTGTGTAGCTGTAGCAGGCAGGAGTGTCAGTTGTGTAGCTGTAGCAGGCAGGAGTGCCAGGTGTGTAGCTGTGTTAGGTGTGCCAGGTGTGTAGCTGTAGCAGGCAGGAGTGCCAGGTGTGTAGCTGTGTCAGGAGTGCCAGGTGTGTAGCTGGAGCAGGCAGGAGTGCCAGGTGTGTAGCTGTGTCAGGAGTGCCAGGTGTGTAGCTGTGTCAGCTGTGTCAGGTGTGTAGCTGTGTCAGGAGTGCCAGGTGTGTAGCTGTAGCAGGCAGGAGTGCCAGGTGTGTAGCTGTGTCAGGAGTGCCAGGTGTGTAGCTGTAGCAGGCACGAGTGCCAGATGTGTCATGATGGCTCCTCCAGCTACTTAGCCGTTTCCGAGCTGCGCTGCTGGCTCAGCATGCCGCCAATGTAGCCCACTAGCGACATGAACTCCTGGAAGCTCACTTTGCCATCCTTGTTCGTGTCCAGCCCTTCCTTCATCTCCTTCACTGCCTTGGCACTCTCTGTGTCCTGGCAGAAAGAGAGGGAGAAGGGAAAGGGTTCAATACGCACTGAGAGAGCAAAAGTAGAAATTTTAACATAGCGCCATGCGCACTGAGGTTCTCCACGGGGTTCAGAACACAGCTTGGCTCCACTAACACAGCGAATTAAAAAGTCACTGGTGGCCAGTGTAGCAGAGCAAGTACTGGGGTGATCAGAAACAGAGATAAAGAGGGGAAAACAGGGTTTTAATAGAGGGGGAGAAAGACTTAGGATTAGAGAGAGAGGGAGGAGTTAGGAGACACACAATCACTGCCCAGAACCTCCCTGTGCGGACCAGCACCAGAGCAGTACTGGCCACACTGGTCTCAGAGGAATGATCAGGAGGCCATCCGGTGAGTCCTACCGACAGGATGTTGCTCAGCTGGGTCTGGACCAGCTTCTGGAATTCTTTCCCACTCAGAGAGTCCTTCCCCTTGGAGGAGGTTTGGAAAGTCTTCACCATGGTCTGGATCGCTGCCTCCATCTCGGACCGACACAGGGGGACACTGAGCAGCCTGCTAGGTGAGACAGGAGGGTCAGTGTTACTCTCTGGACCCCAGGACACTGGACTGATTTACAGGGCACGGAGACGCAGAGTGTGCTGGCAGTGTGAGTCTCTTCCCCTCCCTCTCACACCGGGGCACATAGTTCTGGCAGCAGTACAAGAGCACTGTGTGACACAATCTGGACAGGAACTGCAGAACATAAGGCGCAGGGGTCACAGTTACAACCTGCAACACCTCTAAGCCCTGTTGTGCCAATATCGTTGTCTGTGTCATGGCTCTGAATCAGGCGTTGTGTTGGTGTCTGCTCTCTTTTGTGCTGGGTGTTGTGCAATATACAGATTATTTCCCTGCTGGCACAGAGGAGAAGAAATCGAATACCTTTTTCGCCTGCCAGTGGGTCTCATCCTTCTTTAACGAGAATTCCCTCAATAATTTCTTTCTTTCAGATTCTTTGATCCTTAACATCACATCTCCCCGTTACTCAGTGGCAGTAAATCGGGGGGTTCTGTTTCCCAAGGCTGCAGGATCACCCGAAAAGAACACTTTTATTTGGTGGGGTGGGGGTGCGCGCGTGTGTGTTTGGGCCTGGGGTACTTTCAGAGCTGCGCTAGACCCCCCCAACAGGTGCGCCAAATGAGCGAGCACCCATTTCCTGCGTGAACGAGCCGTCTCCCGGGAGACGCAGGCCGGAACCTGCCTGGGCTCTTGCACAAGCCAGGGGCTCATGGGAAACGGCCCAGCAGGCTCTGCGGCAGCGGATGCAGACTGTGAGCTGACATGGGTTAGCGAGCGCCGGCTCATCCTAGACAGCATTCTAGTGCCAGGCCTTCCCACCACAAAGCCACCTCCCCAGGTGCCTGACAGTACAGCGCTCCCTGCTGGCTGACATTCGCACTGCTGCAGCTCACTGACCCTCCACAAGACCTCACTCCCTGCTCAACAGGCACAGTGCAAAAACAAACAGCTGTTTCACATCACATGAGAGTGACCGAGGTCTCAGAGTGCTTCCACACTGGGCTCTAGTAAAGGACATACTGACCGATGGACAGGCTGGACAGAGAGGTGGACAGAGTGACATACTGACCGATGGACAGACTGGAGGAGACAGAGAGGTGGACAGAGTGACACACTGGGCAGACTGGAGGACAAAGACACAGAAAAGTGGACAGAGAGACATATTGACAGATGTACAGACTGGAGAAAGAGGTGGACGGAGAGACATATTGACAGATAGACAGACTGGAGACAGAGGTGGACAGAGAGACATATTGACAGATGGAAAGACTGGAGAGAGAGGTGGACAGAGAGACATACGACAGATGGACAGACTGGAGAGAGAGGTGGACAGGTGACATTGAAAAACAGAAGTGATAGGGTTGCGGGTGTCTTTACACAAAGAGTGGTGGGAGCGCGGAACAAGCTGGCCGGTGGTGTTGTTGAAGCCAATGCCCTGGCTTCTTCCTAGGCACAGAGGCAGTGGATCCCCGGCTCAACTCGCAGCAGAAACGGGCAGGACGGAAACGGCTTCTCCCCTGCGCCCCTCACACTGGCCCGCGGCCGCCAGCGCGCAGCCCCCACGCCCCGAGCGGCCTCGCACGGGTGGGGTCTGGCCGCGGTGATCGATCGCTGCTACCCTCGAGAAGTTCTTTATGAAATCCATTACTTACGGGGGACATTTTATTTGTATTTTCTTAGTTAGCGGTGGGGGGAGGTGTTATACGGGAGTTCTGTTTAAAGTTTATTTTATATATATATAAGCCACCCATACGCGGAAAGAGAGGGAGCGCTCCGCACGCCAACCCCAAGAAGTCAGAGAGAATATCCGCACGCCTGTTTCGGGGTGGTGGGTGAGTAAGGGGACCCCCCGTTCTGCACCGGCAGAGACACTCGGGCTGTGTGGACCGCGCTAATCCGACCGGGACCACAGCCCCGGCCCCTCTTACCCTCCTCCGGGCTGCTTGGGAGTAACGTGGCGGCGCCCTGCGAGATCCGGGAATCGGGAGAACTGTGCGAGAACACACCTACCTTCACCGAAGACGGCCGGATCTCTTCTTTTCCCTCTCGCCGGGGGGTGACTGCTTCTCTGCCCGCGCGTCCTGCGGCTTCTCGGCGTCTTCGCTTCACGAGCTCGGGTCGTCTCCCTTCTCCGGGTCGGGTCGTGCCGTAGGTGAGGCGTCTCTTCCGTGAGCCGAGCTGCGCCTCCGCGGTCGGGCTGTGTGGTTACAGGGCGTGTCCCGGGCGCTCCTCCGCGGGGAGGAGGAGGAGGAGGAGGGGGGGCGCAGCGAGCGTGGCCGGACAGGCGCAGGAAGGAAGAGGCGGGTTCGCCCTGTTCCCGCAGAACCGGTTTGGCCACGTACGGCTTGTAGCAGAACCGGACCGGGTTGTGGGTTGTCACTGGGCTCTAGGACTGTACCTTAGAACTTTACTGGACTCTGTAGGTCTGTACACTAGAGCTGGACTGGACTCTAGTACTGTAGTATAGAATGTGACTGGACTGTAGCTCTGTACTGTACAGCTGTACTGGACTCTAGTTCTTTACTGTTGGATTGGACTGGATTCTAGTTCTATAATGTAGAACTTTACTGGACTCTAGTTCTTTGTGTAGAACTGGGCTGGACTCTAGTACTGTACTGTAGAACTGTACTGGGCTCTGGTTCTGTAGTGTAGAGCTGTACTGGACTCCAGTACTGTACTGTAAAACTACACTCTCTACTCTAGAGCTGTACTGGGCTCTGGTTCTGTAGTGTAGAGCTGTACTGGACTCCAGTACTGTACTGTAAAACTACACTCTCTACTCCAGAGCTGTACTGGGCTCTGGTTCTGTAGTGTAGAGCTGTACTGGACTCCAGTACTGTACTCTCAAACTACACTCTCAACTCTAGAGCTGTACTGGGCTCTGGTTCTGTAGTGTAGAAACAGGTTAGACTTTAGTTCTCTGGTGTTGTCAAAGTGCTTTGCATCAGCTGGAAGCTTTGTATCTGTGTAGAAAGTGATTTTCTGCATCAAGTCGGCTTCACTGGCACGGCGCAACAGCTCAGACACAAGGACATCAAAACAACTGCCTTTTCCAAAGCTTCTCCCAGTATTCTGGGCACCTAACTGACATCGGGCTCAGGAAACACACAGTACACAGCATGCAGAGTTTAACAGGTCACGTTTATTAAGAACACTGCAGCAGGAGCACCCAGCAAAAATGGGGAAGACTAAGAGAGAAACGTTGCACGTCGGGGGCCAGTCCATTCCCACCTACCCGCCCGCCCTTCCATCCATCCCAAAGCTCCTATTGGCTGAAGCCGCCGTGCTTGCTGGCCAGCCGGCCAATCAGCTGCCAGAACTCGATGAAGGTCAGCTCCCCGTCGTTGTTCTGGTCCAGTGAGCTCATGAGCTGGTCGATGACCGCCGGGTCGCTGGAGTTCTGCAGGAAGTTGACACAAACTGGCATTTTCATGCAGCTCTTGTATAATTACGTTCAAGAAATACAAGCAGGACTGTGTTTTTTAATAGTGATCATTAACAGTTCCTTATCTGTATATATATATATGACACCTTTAACCCCAGAGGAGCCCAAGGAGCTTCACTAGCTGGAGGGACCAACTTCACTACCCACTGAAGCACAGCCCCACCCATGGACACACAGCAGCCCCACTGAAGCACAGCCCCACTGGGGGACACACAGCAGCCCCACTGAAGCACAGCCCCACCCATGGACACACAGCAGCCCCACTGAAGGAGAGCCCCACTGGGGGAGACACAGCAGCCCCACTGAAGCACAGCCCCGCTGGGGGACACACAGCAGCCCCACTGAAGCACAGCCCCACTGGGGGACACACAGCAGCCCCACTGAAGGAGAGCCCCACTGAAGCACAGCCCCACCTGTGGACACACAGCAGCCCCACTGAAGCACAGCCCCACTGGGGGAGACACAGCAGCCCCACTGGGGGACAGCTCCACTGGGGGACACACAGCAGCCCCACCGAAGCCAGCCCCACTGGGGGACACACAGCAGCCCCACTGATCAGACGAAGGAGAGAGACACTGCTGGACCAGGGGAATCATGGGAAACATGAGGGAGGACAGACCGTTCAAACCCAGAGTGGAATTGAGACAGGACACTAGTGAGAGAGAAGGCTGACACTGGGCACACCTTCCTGGGACTGAACAGGCAGGGTTAGTCACTCATTAAACATGCTGACTCAGAGCTGGAGAGGAGTGAGGTAGGGCAGAGGGAGGGAGAGACAGGAGGACAGGGCTAGGACACAGGAGTCAGATGGTTTAAACAAATTCAGTGAAACCACAGGGCAGTCCAGAGTGAGCAGTTAGTTCTGGTTCTGGATGGCTGTGTTTTTGTCACTTCGGCTGGGGTGGCCCAGTCGGGACAGAAGAGGGCCTTCTAGAGTTCATTAACCCCGACTGGGGTGCCCAGTCCGAGCGGAGGTACAGACTCTGGCATTGCTGGGTGCTTGTCATTGGAAACCGCACGAATGCCCTTGGCATCTCCGTTTCAGGTTGGGACAGAAGCCTTAATCAAAACAGTTTTTCTAATGAGTGACATTACTGCTGAATCTGTCAACCAGAATTTTAAACATCAGACTGACAGAACATCAGAAGACAGAAAGAGACAGACGGGTAGATAGACAGACAGGTAGGTAGAGAAACAGACAGGCAGAGACCAACAGACAGGGAATTAGAGAGACAGAAAGACAAGTAGATAGAGAGACAGACAGGTAGATAGAAAGAAATAGGCAGACAGGTAGGTAGAGAGACAGACAAGTAGATAGAGGGACAGACAGGTAGGTAGAGAGACAGGTAGCTCAGGAAGTAAGACAGGTATTGAGAGGCCTGGGCTGGTCACCTTCACGAAGTTGGGCAGCTGGGAGGACACCAGGCTGCGGAGCTCCTCCTTGCTCAGGGTGTCGGCGCTGCCATCATTGCCAGCGAAGGTCTTGAACTGGTTGACCAGGGTGTTGATGGCTGCCTCCATTGTGGTGAGGTTCAGTGCGGTTCGGAAAGGTCCAGTGAGGTCTGGTGAGCTTCTGCAAGGCGTTTGAACCCTGGGGTGAGCGAACCAGAGACCTCTCGTTAGCTTGACCAGTAGCCAGCGTGTGCCAGCTTGCAGAATCGCGGCCAGCAGACCCCAGATCAGTTCGTCTGAAGTAATTAGCACTTAGAACATGGGGCTGGTCAGAGAGGACAGGTGGCCAGTCGGGCCTGTTTCAGTCATTTGGTTAATCAATAGTCAGTAGCTAATTGAGCCCAGGATCTCATCCTGATGCATTTTGAAAGATACCAGGGGATCAGCTTCAACAGGACCGTGCTGCAGACACCCACCACCCTTTGTGTAAAGCAATCAGAAATGTGCTTCCTCCTTGTTAAGAGCAGGTGGAAAACCCTGGAGTATGGCTCCAGAGAGAAGAGGGAAAGGAAAGAGGAGGGGATCATCCAGGAAGACTCCAGGGAGAGGGAGAGAGGCAGCGGAGGAGCGGACTCACCTGTGAGGCGGCGGCAGCGGGCGCAGAGACGAGCTGTGACAGGTCTGTCTGTGAGAGTCCTGTCTCTCCCCCTCGGGATTTATACCCTCCGCCTCTGCCAGAATGCCTGAAGTCAGCGGAAAACAGATCACTCTCTTTCCTTCTCCGGGCTCTCCTGCCTTTCTTTTTCCATGATAGTAGAGGAGGAGGACTTTGTGCTCAAGCAAGAGAATCTGTGCAGTTATAGGTCAGTCCCCCCCACACACAGGTGAAGCACGCTTAGGTCAATCACACACACACTCACAGGTACAGTCAATCACACTCACTCAGGTCAATCACACACACACTCACAGGTACAGTCAGTCACACTCAGGTCAATCACACACACACTCACAGGTACAATCACACTCACTCGGGTCAATCACACACACACACACACACACACTCACAGGTACAGTCAATCACACTCAGGTCAAACACACACTCCCAGGTACAGTAAATCACACTCAGGTCAATCACACACACACATACACACTCACAGGTACAGTCAATCACACTCAGGTCAAACACACACTCACAGGTACAGTAAATCACACTCACATGCAGGTAAATCTCACACACACACGCACAGGTAAATCACACTCACTCAGGTAAATCATACTTATACAACATGCACAGGTGAATAACAATCACTCTCACAGAGGTAAATCACACTCACACAGGTAAGTCTGACACAAATAAATCACACACACAGGTAAATTATAATCGCTCTCACTCATGCAGATAAAACACACAAACGGGTAAAATACATTCACACGTACTCACACGTGTAAATCACACTCACACACACAGGTCAATCTCAGACACACACTCACATTCACACAGGTGAATCACACTCACACACACAGGTCAATCTCAGACACACAAACACACGTGAATCACGCTCACAGGTCAATCACACACACACGTCAATCACACACGCACGCACGCACGCACACACACAGGTCAATCTCAGACACATACTCACACTCATGCAGGTGAATCACACTCACACACAGAGGTCAGTCTCAGACAGATACTCACACTCACACAGGTGAGTCTGTGACTCAGTGACTCTGAGATGTGTAAATCAGTGATTCCCACTCTGTTGTTGTGTTGACTCCCTACACCCACACCCCCCTAACAACGAGTGTGGGATCCTTGGGGTTAAAGAGGAGACACATGCCTTGCAGTGTGGGGACCCCCCTCTCTCTCGCATACGCACACGCACGCACGCACACACCAGGGTCCTGCTCACTCATCTCGGGACGCTGGTCCGAGTCCGCGTATGGGCTGGGATCCCTAGGAGCTGGGTGTTCCCAGGGCTGGGGGACTCGACCCCCCCCACCTCCACCCCCACATAGCGGGCTGACGCAGCAGCTGTGTTTTTGCGGGATCTGCCTGGGAACGCTGCTCCCAGATGATAGGGGCAGCCTGCAGGGTGCAGGCAGGTGAGCCTGCACGTTGTGTGAAGTGTGTTGCGCTCGGTGTGTGTGTGTCTTGCACCGTGTGAGGTGTAGTGTGTTGTGTGAGGTTGGAAGAAGTGTTGCGTTATGGAGGCACTGGAGGAAACGGTTAGAAAATGGATGGATGAACCACAAAAAAGGTATTTTCTAGCCTTCGAAAGGGTTCAGAGAAGAGACAGGGCAGGGGAACGCCCCCGCTGTAGTCTAGAGCAAAAGAGATGGAGAGGAGGATTGATCCCAGTGTGTGCAGTTCCAAGCCATATAGACCAGCATCATCTTTAAATCCCCCAGTGTGTTGTGTATATTGTATGATGTATTTGTATTTGGTATTCGTATATTCGTATTTGCCTTGTAATTTTCACTGTCTGCACTTTGCCCTATGTGTATCCTGTCTATAATGTCTATTGTCAGTGCCCTGTCTGTATTTGCACCGTGGACCAGGAGGAACGATACTTCGGTCCACTGTGTACTTGTATGTGGCCGGAATGACCAACGTGAACTGCAGCAGAATCCCAGAATCAGTTTGAAATTTAACTGGCAACCAATGCAAGGAAGCCAAACCTGGAGTTATACTCAGAACACCATTATAGCAATGTAACCAATTCCCACGCAGGACGCGCCAGGGGTTCAGAGAGGGGCGATGGAAGGGGTAGGGCTCTGGGTATGGGGATCTGGACGTCCCGTACCCCAGCTCCAGGCTGGATTCATGGTGGGGGCAAGGGCAAGTTTCACACCTGACGCTGACCCCTCAAATCCTCATTTACAGCACACGCAGGCAGGCAGGCAGGCAGGACGCCCCCCCCCGCGCCCAGCCCGGTTGCCCTCTGCTGAAGTCGTCACCTCTCTGCCTCTGGAAAGCGCTGACTCGGCGAAGATCGCCGCAGCGCCTGATTGCTGTTTTTGGCCGTTAACGAGCAGCTTGGGTGTGTTTGTGTCGGGAGTCGACTCAGCAGTTTGCGGCTCTGTTCCAAGCAGGCTGGGAGGGCGGCTCTGATCGCTATCAGCCCGTTCTGGGCTCTGGAAAATCCCGGGCCTGGTGCCAGGAAGACTATTCTCTAGGCTCACTCCCGCTGCGCGGACAAGGGGCTCCATGGGGCTCTGTTCCCTGTTTGTGCTTTGTCTTGTGCCGAGTGCTTTTGTTACCCTGCCTTTACCAACCAGCCCGGGAAAATGCAGTCGTTCGCGAGGCCACTTAAGGAGCCAGTTAATTGCTGTGATTAGCGCCAGGCCTGTCCCGCCGTGCTCCTCCCTGGAGCAGGACAGTCTCACTGCAGGCGACACCTGCTCCACGGGGTGCGGCCGTGAGCCTGCAGGACAGGGACCAGGGCGGTGAGCGTCCGGTGAACCCCTCCACCCCCTCTCTCTGCACAGCGAGGTGTGCTCTTGGGAGAGGAGACACAGCAGTACATAGCGCCTGGCAGAGCCTCTCGGTCGTGACCTCTTCCTGAACCAGATCTTGGATCAGTCTGGGCCATTCTGTGTATTAGAGGCCATTGTTACAGCAGCCAGTCTCTGCTTTTTAACCAGTATTGATCAGGATATACTGTCACTGTATACTTCACCTCCCACCCAACTATAATCTCCTCTCTCCCGTGCTCCTCTCTCTCACTCTCTCCTATACTCATCTCCCTCCCTCCCTCCCTCTGTACACACACCCCCTCCCAACCCACACCAGACCTCGGCTACTCGTTGAAGAAACTTTATTTTTTATACAAAGACATAAACAACATCAATCAGGCATTTCTAGAGGGGGGGGGAGGGGGTCAGAAGTCACTCTGTTCAGCAGGAAATGTAATAACAGTTCAGTAGGCCTGAGACCAGGGCCTGCAATCACCGAACCCCCCCAACACGCTCCTGCACCCCAACTTCTCCAGGCAGGCCAGGGCAGCTCCCCCCTCTGGGAAGTCGGGTCTCGGCCTTCGTGCCACAGCTGACATTTCGCTGATTGGATTTTCTCCAGGTCGGCGAAGGTGGCGTGACTCACTGTCCAAGTTCAGTGTTGCAACCCTAGAAGCCCAAGTCAAAAGACCACCCCACCACGCAAGCCTTAATTGCTTAATTGGGGTCATTAATTACATGGGAACAAAATAATTTAACACACCAAGTAAGGTCTGTACAGCTCCCATGTCCTAGTTTTTCTTTATCAAGAAGCACTTCTCTACACCAAGAGTGGCAGGTGTCTGGCAACCCAGCCACAGCCCTGAGCTCCATTCCCTTATTTTCCTCCCAGAAAAAAAGAAAGGCGTTTCCCCCACTGAAACCATCCAGCAGGAGCGAAAAACCCGCCACCCTCCCCTCACCATTCCTGACTTCTGAAAAAAAAAACACCCCAACACAAACTCTGGTGAAAAGAAACCCCAAAAAATCCACTATCTGTTCTCTGCTACTCCTTGGATTTCATTAAGTCAATTAAATCCACATTCGAACCCTGGGCTCTCCAGCTCCTGAAGAACACGAAGGCTTTGGATCTGAGAGCCGCAGATGAAAGATTTTCAAAATAAAAGGTGCCACCGAGCCCTCGTCCTGTAGGGGGAGCCAGACACCTCCCTGCCCTGCCAACATTGGTGGGATGGTTGATGAACCTCTGTGCGGGTCCGAGTGACACTGCTGCTGCGGAAGAGCCCGGAAAGGAGGGAGGAGCCAGTGTCCAGAGGTCCCCGGTCCAGTTCGGCCTGTCTGTTCTACTCGCTGCCGCCCACTGGCTCGGCCCACCTGTGCTTCTCCTTGCTGCGGGCGTGCCAGTCCTGCTCCACCGGGGGGCGCTGCTGTTCCTGGCTGTGGTCCGGCTCGGCGGTGCTGGGCTTCCTGCCTGTGAGCCAGAGAGAGGCAGCGCGTCGAACCCCTGGCCGCTGCAGTCACCTCTCCCTCTCGCTCACTCTGCCCCCCTCCCTCTTCCAACCTGCCCCCCTCTCCCAGTCTTTTTCCCTGTCGCCCTCCCTCTTCCAGGCTCTTGTCCTTCCCCAATCTTTTTCCCTGCCTGTTTCCCTTTTATTTCTCCCTCTTTCCCAGTCTTTTTGACAGTCTCTCCCTTTTTCCTTTCGGTTTTCCCAGTCTCTCCCTCTTTCCGTCTTTTTCCCACTCTCTCCCTTTTTCCTATCGGTTTTCCCAGTCTCTCCCTTTTTCCTATCAGTTTTCCTAGTCTCTCCCTCTTTCCCAGTCTTTTTGCCAGTCTCTCCCTTTTTCCTTTCGGTTTTCCCAGTCTCTCCCTCTTTCCCAGTCTTTTTCCCCACTCTCTCCCTTTTTCCTATCGGTTTTCCCACTCTCTCCCTTTTTCCTATCGGTTTTCCTAGTCTCTCCCTCTTTCCCAGTCTTTTTGCCAGTCTCTCCCTTTTTCCTTTCGGTTTTCCCAGTCTCTCCCTCTTTCACAGTCTTTTTGCCACTCTCTCCCCTTTTCCCATCGGTTTTCCCAGTCTCTCCCTTTTTCCTTTTGGTTTTCCCAGTCTCTCCCTCTTTCCCAGTCTCTCCTTTTTTCCTTTTGGTTTTCCCAGTCTCTCCCTCTTTCCCAGTCTTTTTCCCAGTCTCTCCCTTTTTCCTATCAGTTTTCCAAGTCTCTCCCTCTTTCCCAGTCCCTCTCTCCTCCGTCGTGTCCCTCCACTCACCTCTCCTCCTCCCCTCTCGCTCCCTCTCTCCGTGTCTGTGTCCGTGTCCCGGGATGGCAAACCTCCTCAGTGCCTCCCTCTCGAACCCTTCCATGAACCGCTCCAGCTCCTCGCCCTCGCCCTCGCCGCCCCCCTCCCTCTCCGCCAGCTCCTCCAGGATCTCCCCCACGTCCTCGGCGAAGTCCCGGAAGGACATCCGCTGGTGCGCGAAGAGGCCGTCCTGGAAGAAGTCCAGGGTCAGCCGCTGCAGCTCGGCCGGCCCGGCCCCCCCGCCGAGGCGGCGCAGGTAGCCCCCCAGCAGGGCCTGGAAGGCGGGCAGCTCGACGGGGTGGAGCCCCTCCCTGCGGGCGCAGTCCCGCGGACCCCCGCAGCCCTGCAGGGGGCGGTAGTGGCGCAGCCTCTCGCCCTGCTGCTTCCAGAAGGCGTTGTGGTCGTGGTGCCGGTGGGCCGGTTTCCCGGGCGACGGCGCCGTCCGGCTGGGCCCCTGCCAGTGGTGGTCCTGTTTGGATCTGGGCTCCGGCCTCTCCTTCTTCTGCTCCCTGGCCTTGTCCTTCGTCATCCCTTCTTCCGTTTGCTCCGTCTTCTGCCTGAGCCACTCTCCCTCCTTCCTCTCCCTCCTCCCCCTCTCCTCTCCCTCCTTTCTCCCCCTCTCCTCTTCCTCCTTCCTCTCCCTCCTCCCCCTCTCCTCTCCCTCCTTCCTCTCCCTCCTCCCCCTCTCCTCTCCCTCCTTCCTCTCCCTCCTCCCCCTCTCCTCTCCCTCCTTCCTCCCCCTCTGCTCTCCCTCCTTCCACCCCTCCTCTCCCTCCCTCCTCCCCCTCTGCTCTCCCTCCCTCCTCCCCCTCTCTCCTGGTCTCTTCCCCTCTTTCCTTCCCTGCTTCTCCTCTCCTCCCCTTTCCCACTCCTGTTCTCCCCACCCCTCCTTCCCTTCCTTCCCAGCCCTCTGCTGCTGCTCCTCCTCCTCCTTCCTCCTCCTCTTCCCGGCCTCTCCCTCTCTCCGCGCCCCTCTCTCCGCCTCCTCCCAGCGCCTCTTCTGGCCCCCTTCCTCCCTCCTCTCCCCCGGCGCTCCCTTCCCCAGCCGCTCGATCTCGGCGGACAGCCTCCTCTCCAGCTCCGCCAGCCCCTCCCTCACCCCCCTCTTCCCCCCCCGCTCCCTCGCCGCCCCCGTCAGCCCCTCCAGGCGCCGCCGGCTCTCGGCCAGCAGGAGGCGCTGTCTCTCCAGCTCCTGCTGCAGGGCGTCTCCTCCTCCTGCGCTCTCCTCCGCCTCCCCGGCAACCGGGCTCTCTTGACTTGGGGTGTCATTGCGGTGCCCTGGCTCATCTGTAGGGGGTGCAGTGGAGACGTTCTGCACAGTGAGGTTGGGCACAGGGGCAGCAGAGTGGGCTTCTGGCAGAGAATGGGACAGCAGTACTGTTGGATGACCTGGGCTGTATTTCTATCTGTCTCAGTGCTGTATCACTCTCAC